GCTGGCTACTTATTCCCTATGTGGTTCAGAACTAGTTATTTCTTGCAACTTCTTGGGTCTCAAGCATCTCAGTGAAAAAATGAGGATATCAACATCCACCTCAAAGGTTTTTTCTTTGAACTAAATGACATTTTGTAAAGTTGCTAGCACAGTCCTTGGGACAAAGTAAATGCTGGGTTAATCACGGCATTAACCATCATCCAGGTGATTCCCATCCAAGAAAAAGCAGCGTGTGACTGTAACGGCCACCTGAGTAACATTTAGCAAACCCCAGCGTGAGCCAGGTCATCTCAAACGCAGAGATTTGGAAAAGAAATGCATAGGGCAGTCATCTGATGATCTTCGTGTGTCCAAACATGATTCAGCCTTGAAAACCACAGGCTGGTTTGGGATCCTGGCTACTGACTCGGGGATGGGGGTCAGACGTGATGCACAGTGTTAATAAGTACTTGGTTCCGTCCAGGCAGTACAGAGAAACAGAACACCTCCTCTGGAAAGAAACCCCAGTAACTGTCGTCCTCTATAAGAGCTGACGCTTACAAAGTGGACTGTAATTCTTGCCCTGCACAAAGAATTAGAAAGAGAACCATTAGAATGCTGTCTTCCGGACTTACTGACTCTGTAAAGCTACTTAATGCCTCTTGAGTTTCTTCATCTTCAAAAAGGAGACACCCTCTCTGACTCCCAAGGTTGCTGTGAACAGCAGACGAATGATGGAAAACAATAGGCACACAGCCTCTATGATTAGTGGAGGTGCTGATACCCAACGGCATCTGATTCTTAGACGACTTGCTTTCCTCAGAGAGCAGAATGCTACCTGCCTATAATAAATATTTCAGAGATGCTGAATTATTTATTTATTATATACCTGGGTTTACAAGGAAGGAAATTGGTTCCTTTAAAACAATAACATTGATCGGCTTAAATAGCAGAAACAGCACTCTCCCATCCTTATTTACAGACCTTGGACCAAGTTCCAAGAGCACAATGGCAAATTATGGATGTACCTGCTGACCTGCAGACAAATAGGAGGGTTAAAAGATCAATTAAATAATCTTAACTCGTGAGCAGCAGGGAAAATATTTCAGCTGAAACATTGATTGTTGTCCTGAAATGTACTACAGTGGAGCTAAATAGATTCATGTCTTCACAGGCAGGGGGTTTCCTGGCTTGTATCCCAGTCCTGGGGGCCTGTGGCTGATGGAGGGTGGACAGAACCTAAGGATAGGAAAAGAGAAATGGATATGCACTGAGATCTACTTTTGCAGGCAACCTACCTAGCCACTGCACCCAGGTAGGTCACCGAACATCTTTTAGTATCTGGGAGCTTAAGTTCCTTGTTCCTTGTCTTCAGGCGATACAGCTAGTCAGAGGCAGGTGACACCAAAACTAGGATTTACGCAGAGAATGGTCTCCTGGACCCAGGGTGGGGGAAGGAGGGTGCGATGAGCTGGGGGAGTGTCACTGACATATATGCCCCACCGTCCGTAAGACAGGTGGCCCCTGGGGAGTCACTGCAGGGCACGGGGCTCAGCTTGGGGCTCGGCGGTGACCTGGAAGGGGGGTGGGAGCGGGTGGGGGGATATGCTCCCCATACCTATGCCTGCATACATACCTATGCCTGCATACATACATATGCCTATATACATACCTATGCCTGCATACATACCTATGCCTGCATACATACATATGCCTACATACAGACCTATGCCTACATACATACCTATGCCTACATATGTACCTATGCCTACATACATACATATGCCTATATACATACCTATGCCTACGTACATACCTATGCCTACATACATACATATGCCTAGATACATATCTATGCCTATATGCATACACATGCCTACATATATACCTATGCCTTCATGCATACCTATGCCTACATACATACCTATGCCTACACACATACCTATGCCTACATACATACATATGCCTACATACATACATATACCTACGTACATACCTATGCCTACATACATACATATGCCTACATACATACCTATGCCTACATACATACCTATGCCTACATACATACATATGCCTACATACATACCTATGCCTACATATGTACCTATGCCTACATACATACATATGCCTACATACAGACCTATGCCTACATACATACCTATGCCTACATATGTACCTATGCCTACATACATACATATGCCTATATACATACCTACACCTACATACATACCCATGCCTACATACATACATATGCCTAGATACATATCTATGCCTATATGCATACATATGCCTACGTACATACCTATGCCTACATACATACCTATGCCTACATACAGACCTATGCCTACATACATACCTATGCCTACATATGTACCTATGCCTACATACATACATATGCCTATATACATACCTACACCTACATACATACCTATGCCTACATACATACATATGCCTAGATACATATCTATGCCTATATGCATACACATGCCTACATATATACCTATGCCTTCATGCATCCCTATGCCTACATACATCCCTATGCCTACATACATACCTATGCCTACATACATACATATGCCTACATACATACATATACCTACGTACATATCTATGCCTACATACATACATATGCCTACATACATACCTATGCCTACATATATACCTATGCTTATATACATACATATGCCTACATACATACCTATGCCTACATACATACCTATGCCTACATATATACCTATGCCTACATACATATGCCTATATACATACCTATGCCTACATACATACCTATGCCTACATACATACATATGCCTACCTACATACATATACCTACGTACATACCTATGCCTACATACATACCTATGCCTACATATATACCTATGCTTACATACATACATATGCCTACATACATACCTATGCCTACATACATACCTATGCCTACATATATACCTATGCTTACATACATACATATGCCTACATACATACCTATGCCTACATACATACCTATGCCTACATACATACATATGCCTATATACATACCTACACCTACATACATACCTATGCCTACATACATACCTATGCCTACAAACATACCTATGCCTACATACATACATAAGCCTACATACATACACATGCCTACATACATACCTATGCCTATATACATACACATGCCTACACACACATGCCGACACACACATATGCCTACACACATGCCTACATACATACACATGCCTACACACATACACATGCCTACACACATACCTATGCCTACATATATACACATGCCTACATACATACCTATGCCTACATACATACCGATGCCTACATACATACACATGCCTACATACATACCTATGCCTACATACATACCGATGCCTACATACACACACATGCCTACATATATACCTATGCCTACATACATACACATGCCTACATACATACACATGCCTATGGCTGACTCATGACGTACAACAGGAACCAGCACAGCATTGTAAAGCAACGATACCCCAGCGTGATAAATAAATACAGCCAGAATTTGACTCTCAGATCGGTGTGTGTCACCACCAGCCTGACCATTCATTTCATCAGTCAACAGACATCCGTTGAGCTGCTTCCACATGCCAGGCACTTGGGATGCAAAGGCACAGCAGGTAACTCTGCCCCCAAGGGTCTCACGGTCTGAAGAGGAAGGCAGACAAGGGGGCTTCCAGTTTCCATGTGGGGTGGAGATGGTGGGACCAGAGGGCAATTTACTGTGATGCTTCAGGACTCCTCGTTTGTATGTGTCCCTTCTAAATAAATATTCACTCTTACACCTAAGTCTGTCTTTGTAATTTGTATTAGTTTTCTTAAAGAGCATGCTCAAAGTATATAAGCTTTGGGACCAGTCCACCTGGGTTCAGCCCTTAGCATGACACAGCAACCCCTGTAGACATGCATGTACAACATCTATATCCTCCCAGAAGGCTTCTAGGAGGTCGCCCTTGAAATGAGACTTAAGCACAAGAAGTACATGGAGAAGTGGAGGGCGGGGGACGGGATGGGCCTGGAGAACAGGACCTGGGAAAGCGGTGCGGGGAGTCAAAACAGCTCAGCTTTTCCAGGATGATGCCACCCTGCTGGAGGGTTGTGGGGAAAGCTGTGTTGGCTGTGGGAGCAGCTGATAGACAGTGGGGTGCTGGTGAGGGAGGGACTTCCATCCTGGGTTCTACAGAACTATAACTCTGATCTTTCAGCCTAGAAGGAACAACTGAAGGACTTTTAGGATCCATTTTTCAGCATTAGATTTTAGAAGCATCCATCTGATAGCAAGGATGACCTGAAGGCACAGTGAACAGCTGTTACCTAGGACTGTCCTGGTTTTAGTACCGAAGGTTCTCTGTCCTGGAAAACCCCGCAGCCCCAGGGAAACCAGGACAGTGAGTCCCCTGACCCGGAAGAGAGTGGGCCCAAAGCCAGGAGAAACACTGAGAGGGTCTGCTCAGGAAATATGCATCCCATTACCCACTCGGCACTCCACTCTGATGTCTAAATGGCATCATTAAATCAATGTGCTCAAAACCTCAGAGCGTTTGCACTTGCTTTCCCCAGGATAACCACACGGCTCACTCCTTCACCTCCTTCTGGTATTTATTCTGACCTTACCTTCTCAGCAAGGCCTCCCCCAGATCCTCTTTTATTATTGCAATCCCAAGGTTGACATTCCCTATCCTTGTTTTGGTTTTGTTCATAGCGCTGCACCACCACCCAATGTGCCCAACCTATTGCATAGTTACATTTTTTATGGTCAGTTTTCCCCACTATCAAAATCTTTGATGAAGGCGGAAATTTTGTTTGTTTTATCCATTGTCCAGGATGGTGTCTGGCATGTAGGACAGGTTCTTTGAGTAAATTGAGTCTTCCTTAATTCCTCTCTACTCTCTCGGGCCCCGCATCCAGTTCATCTGCAAATTCTGGTGACTGTCTGTTCAGGGTGGATCCAGTGTATGAGTTCTCAGCACCTCCATCACGCCCACCCAGCTCACCTGGGTTGTTGCGAGAGCCTCCCTCCCCTGGCTTCCCGTACCCGTCCTTGCTTCTGAACAGCGTGTTCTCTGTTCTCACATCTGCAGCCAGGGCACCCTGCTCAAATGTGGGTCTGATCTCGTTGCCCCATCGTCTGCTCAGTTCCCCCTTTCCCCTCGCCCCCCTCATCTCCTGTCCTTCGCTTCCTCCTCTCAGGCCCACCTCTGCTTCTGGGAAGGCATCTTCTGATGTGTCCAGATTCTGCCCCTTCCAGCCACACAGGCTCCCCTTGTGTGCCTCGGGCACACTGGGCCCTTTCCTGCCCCAGGGTCTTCCTGCTGCCGCTGCTAAGTCACTTCCGTCATGTCCGACTCTGTGAGCCCATGGACGGCAGCCCACCAGGCTCCGCCGTCCCTGGGATTCTGCAGGCAAGAGCACTGGAGTGGGTTGCCATTTCCTTCTCCAGTGCAGGAAAGTGAAAAGTGAAAGTGAAGCCGCTCAGTCGTGTCCAACTCTGCGACCCCATGGACCGCAGCCCGCCAGGCTCCCCCGTCCCTGGGATTCTCCAGGCGAGAGTACTGGAGTGGGGTGCCATTGCCTTCTCTGCAGTCTTCCTACTTGCCATTTAATGCTCTTCTCCAGGCATTCCCATGGCTGACCCATTTCCTTCAGGTCTCAGCTCAAAAGTCTCTTTACCCTTCTCTCCCACAGCGAAAGGAAATCTCAAACCCACCTCCACGCAGCTGAAGACTCTTTGTTTTCTGTTCAGGACTTGGTACCTCGCAAGTCAGATGGTGAACTATCTATTGTTTCTCTCTCCTCCCCCTATTCAGCCCTCCCTCTGCCTGAGAACATGGAGCTGCAAGACTTGTTGGGAAGGGAAAAAACCCAGAACCCAGGCCCATGACAAAAAAACTAACAGCAAAAAAAATTAATTTAAAGTAAGTAAAAGAGCTTTCATTTCATTTTTTAAATGCCTTTATGAACTAATTTTCTTTCCCTCTTGGAAAAGGCAAAAGTGTGGGTTCTTGTCATGTTGAGAGGACTAATTACCCTCCTTGCTGGAAAGACAATAAAGTAGAAGCAGAATTTCAGAAAAATAGATCCTTTCCCTTTTTCTCTCTTTTCTCTCACTGTATTTACCAACTTTCAGGAAGTAGAGGGTTTTGCTACTCAAACTTTCTTCCTGTCTCTCAGGAAGCAAACCTCTTGGAAATTCTTTGCCAGAAGCCTGTTTGCTGCTAGAACGTGTGGAGAATATTGCTTCTTTCACAAGGTCTGGTTTATATATTTAATTCATAGGAGGTTTTTTTTTTTCCCCTGTTCACCCCCTCCCACTTCTCCCTAGCAGTCCCCTTGGATTTTCCATGTGCTTCCCTCTTTGTCTCTTTCAGATGGTCACACGGTCAAACTTTCTGTGAACTCATTTGCCACGCAGCTACACACGCATCATCTCATTTAATCTTCATAAGCACGCTGTGAGGTGCTATCATTATTACTCTATTTTACACATGAGGAAGCTGATGCCTCAGAGCTAAGTAGTGTGGTGAGAGCTGTCGGTACCCCCTCCCACGTCACCAATGCAATGGGCACTGGTTGGCTTCCCACTGCCAAGGTCTGTATATGTTTCTTTGGCCCCAGAAGAGGCCAGAAGTGCTGGGGAACATGCCCATCCCCCATTCCAACACACCCCCTCCATGGCGGCCTTTAACCAATGACTGATGGAGTTGGTGTTTAAACATCACAGCTCCCCTGCTCCTTGGGTGGGGGAGAACTGAGGGGCATTTTCTAGGCTGGCTTCAGAGACTCCCAGCAGGATTGTGCTCCGATGGTCCATAGTTACCTGTCTGGTTAAAGAACCTTCTGTTGGCGACATCTACTTCTCTCTCTCTTCCCCTACTGGAGTTTCCTGGGATCACTTCCTAGATATGTATTTGCACTGGAATCGTTTTCTCAGGGTCTGCTTCTAGGGGAACCAAAGATAGATCTTTGCCTGAGATTGTGTAGTTACCAGATGGCAGAGCTGAACCGCAGACTCAAATCTGTGTGATTCCAGAGCTTGAGTGTTTCATCATGATGTTCTGATCCCTTCCTTCTCTTTAAGAACTTTTTAAATTTCTATCCCTTGTAGTGGTGATAACTTTTTTTCCTAATGTGTCAAATTATAGCAAACAACAGTTTTGCTTTAAAAAACTATCTTTATAAATCAATTGGAAAATGTTAACATTTTCTTTAGGTTGAAAATTTTTTATATGTTTTATAAAATGTTTTATAATGACAAATTATAAGCTATAAAAGGACAAGTTCCCACAAGTCCACAACCTAGCATTAATGGGGACCACATGATATGAGTCATGACAAGAAGAAGAGCCAGAGTGGATTGATGATAAGTTAGGAGTACTTTGTTAAGTTAAAAATGAATTTACTGGAAGGTCTTGGTTAAATTGGGGTTTCCCAGGTGGTGCAGTGTTAAAGAATTCACCTGTTAGTGCAGGAGACACAAGAGATGTAGTTTCAGTCCTTGGGTTGGGAAGATCTCCTGAAGTAGGAAATGACAACCCACTCTAGTATTCTTGCCTGGAGAATCCCTTGGACAGAGGAGCTTGGCAGGCTACAGTCCATGGAGTTGCAAAGAGTCACACGCACTGAGCTTGCACGCACTTGGTTAGATTATGGACTTGAAAGAAGAGCTGGATGGTCAAGTTCCAGAAAGGAGAGACACCAGGACAGCTTTTGGGAACCAGGGACCTGAAGCTATTGAATAGTCTTTTCCAGGAACCATAGTCAAGTTGATTAAGCTTCAGTTCATCTTGGTGAAGACTAATTCCAGGGCCAGATGGTGTGATTGGCTGAGCAGAGACAGTGGGTGGGGAGTACTTTGATTGATACAAGCAATGGGGGAGATGCTCTTTCCCTGCAAAAAAGTTACCTGACTGCCTTAGAAAAGGAGAAGTGGGATTCTGTGTCGTAAAGATGACAAATAGCCTTGTGAAAGAGAAGGGAAAATGTCTGCTGAGGAAAGGTAGGAGAAGGGGGAGATGACGGCACACAGAGGAAATATTAATACATGAGGTGTCTGCAAAGAGAAGCAATTGTGGATATTCCCAGCTGCTGACAGGTTCCTTGCAATGCCTATTCCCTTTTGAGGTAATCTACTATTCTCCTCTATTCCTTCCACCCTAGACACATTGGGTTTCTGGTGTTCCTCTATCACACGAGATATATTCCTCCTCAAGACATCTCTACTTGCTGTTCCAGAAACTGGAACAGTCTTCCCTCAACTTCAGCGTGGCTATTCCCTTATCTCCTTCAGGTCTGTTCAAATCTCATCTTCAAAGGGCTGCCTTCCCTGATCACTCATTCCCTCCTCTCCTCCCCACCTTCTCTGCCTTATTTATCTGCATGTATTGGATATTATTACCATCTCACATTATTTTTTTTTTGCATGATATATGAGAATAAAAATTCCATGAGGTCAGAGGTTTGGTAAACCCAGTTTCTAGAATGTTCCTGATAGGTGTTTGATAGATATTTGTTGAGTGAACAATGAATGGTTTCTCCTCTCTTCGTAAGGCTATCAAGTGTAAACATAAGGTTTCAAAATGACTAACAGAGGCAAGCCTGCAGTGAGGTCCTACGGCAGGTGAGAGGGGGACCAAAGATGTCCCGCAGAGGCGTCTGTGGGAAATATGCCTGGAGGATCCTCTGCCCCTCCAACCACTACACATGACGGGGACATGGGGATTCTGGCTTCGGAGGGAATTCCCGTTTCTATACGCCATTACTCTTTCAATCAGTTTTAACTGATTCCTGTTAAAGTCTAGTTTCATAACCTTGTGATCATTGTATGTATACAGTGATAATCCCAAGAGAAGTGGCTGGCATGATCATTTCTTATTTTATAGATTCCTAGGGGCTCTGGGAAAATGGGAAGACTAGCCAGCAAAGAAGTGAAATTAATTAACTGAGAAACGCATCGAAGTGTAACTGACCTTGTTCACTCAAATAAAAAGTAACCCTCACCAATCTGGAAGCTCCACTCTCTGCAGTTTCTGTGGGTCCCTTTTATCTTGAAAGTGTTAGTCCCTCAGTCATGTCTGACTCTTCGTGACTCCATGGACTGTAGCCCCCAGACTCTTCTGTCCATGGAATTCTCCAGGCAAGAATACTGGAGTGGGTAGCCATTCCCTCTCCAGGGGATCTTCCTGACCCAAGGATTGAACCTGGGTCTCCTATGTTTCAGGCAGACTCTTTGCCTTCTAAGCCACCAGGCAAGTTGACTTACATTTCTTATTTTCAAATTACCGGACAGCAGTATTAAATTTTTTTGATGCTGTTGCTGATTTAGGTATAAATCTGCAAAATAATGTTTGAGTTAAATACATTTCCAACTCTGATGCCAAGTTTTCTGAGGATTAATTAACAGTGAATTAGCTGAAGTCTGAAGAATGATGAAAGACAAGTATATATCCTCAAAAACTGATCTAATGACCACAAAGACATAATAGCCAACACATATGGAACACTTAAAATGTACCAGGCACTATGCTATGTAGATATGGTGGAGAGAAATGACTTCATTTAGCTCAAAAGATATTCCAGTTTCAGATCTATAAACATTTGTTTGGCCCATGTGCCAGGTAATGGATATACAAAGAGAAATTATAATTTCTGTCTTCAATTTTCTTTTGTGTTAGATTAATTTCTTTTATGTCAGTGAAATAACATGGAAAAATCTCTGTAAGTGTGAAGATGTGTGTGCCCCAATTGTCTTCATTGGGGCACACAGAGACCTTCACACTGAATTCTCACCTACCATTTTCCTTGCTACATTGACTGTTTTCTCCTCAAATTATATCCTAACCCTACTCATTTCTCCAAATAAGCCAGAAGATATCACATGCTTAGGTCTTTGTACATGTTCTTACCTTTGCTTTAGATTCTCTCATCTGTCAGCTGAATTCCAAATGCCCTTCAAAACCCATTTCACACATCAACTTTTTCATGAGGGTGTCTTTGAAAGCCCCTCGCCCACCTCATCTCTAGGATCAAGAGCTGGCCAATGGTTGTGAGTGTCTTTTGTGTTTACCTTCCCAGCATCCAGTCTCCCTTCTTTTGCTAACAGCACCCCACTGTTCGTCCACAAGGCTTGGGTGGGACTGATCCCACCTCCACCTCCACCTGGGAGT